CAGCAAGTACCTGGATAAGGCAGACACGTCTTCCCACAGATCCTCTGAGGAAGGGGGTTTGCTACAGTGCTAACAGTCCTGGGACCAGCTTCCCAAAAGCCTTAACAGCAAAAACTACCTGCAAGCTCTGTGCCCCTCAGACTTGGCAGCTCCAGGCAGCTCTACTTGTCCCTGCCAAGCTTGACTCACCTGCCACAGCAGTGACACACTCGCAGCCTGAGCACGTAGTTAATGACAGTACCTCATGCCCCAGTTCCCTGGGTAGGTGAGGAGGGTGTCCTTGTTTGGCTTGAGCTACTTATGCAATTCAAGTGGCAAATCTATAAATAAAAGCTAATTTCAGACCAGACTGATGGCTTATTTATGCTGGTGTTGTCCCCTTCTCAGAAAAACATGGATGATTTTATACTGGAAGTGCTGACATGTTTGACCCTCAGGCTGGGAACAGCATTTGTATCCTCTTGCTGGAGCTGCTGCTCTCAGGAGGCTGCTAAGGTCCCTCTCCCGTGTGCTTTTTGTGGCAGCACTAAGCAGAGCCTGTGAGCCCCAGCAGCAATGTTTTGAGTGCTGCAGGGATTGTTAAGCCAACACAAAGCAATCCCTACCTTTCCCCAAAGTGGCAACATCCCCTTGTGCTGAATCTGTTCCACCTGTTCACTCTCTCTGTACATGGTCTGGGTCAAACCATGGCTGACCCATCTCCAGCACTGCTGGGAGCCAGCCCTATCCCAGGGTGGGCTTCAGCACTCTCTCTGTAATAGACCCAGGAGCAGGGATATCACAAACATAAGACTCCCTTATAATTTCTACTCAGAAACCTGACAGTAAAGTGCATGAGGGCTGCAACTTGGTTTTGCTAAACTTGATGGTCTTATTACTTAATATGGTCTCATAATTCCTGCTGCCTTGCACCACACCTGTTACCACTGTCTGCCTTGAATGCCAGGAGCGATGTGGCATGCAAACAAATCTCTCCTATTGCTTTTCCTTTTCCTTTCTCTTCTCTGCTGGTCTTTGCCAGGATCCTCATTTGGCAATTTAACCAGTAATTTCCTCTGCTAGGGACTGCAATAATCCTTCTCCTTGTAGCCTGCCATGTGATTTGTGTCCTTTCCCATGTTACGGCAGCAGGCAGTGTGATGCTGGGACAACGTGGTAGGGTGAGTGAGGGAAAAGATGAACAAGGAAGGCTGTAGAACCTGCAAACAAAAGGGTCATAATTCCAGTGCATGGGATGCCTGCTGCAAGGCAGCTCACAGGTTGGGAGTCCTCACCTGGTTCAGCCTGTGCTTTCCACTATTAAGCTACCTCCAGTACCTCTAGCCTGGGCTGTGCACTTCAATGTGTCTGCAGGGTGGGATCACCCAAGGGCTGCTCATCCCAGCAGTTCTCAGAGGAGAATGTCTCATCCAGTGCAAACACCTGCAGGCAGAGCCTGGAGTAGCTCTGAGTGGATGCTCTGTGCAAAATGTGCAACAGCTCCTTACACCTCGCCTGGTTCACTGCAGCTCATTTCCTGTGGGGCTCTTTGCTACACACCACGGTAGAAGGAGACTGGGAATACAAGAACCTGATTTCCAATAAACAGCTACTGTGTAGCTGGATCACTGTAAAACATGGAGCCCTAGAGGGATGATAGCCCAAAAGACTGCATTCTCTCTGACTTATGCTGCTTTGCTTTTACAGAGCACAGTCAAAAAGCCCTTACTGGCCGCCCTCACATTCCCCTGGAGTCCTCCTCATGCTTGGCTGTGAAAACACTTCCCTGGTAGCTGTTACACTGCCTGCTTAGGGGGAATGGTTTTAGTCCTGTATTTTACTCTGCATTTCCCAAGACACTGATCTGTGCCAGGCCCTTCAAAGGTTGCAGCGCTGAGGAACTGAGCCCCATAGGAGTGAACATTCAGGTGGTAAATGAGAGGAGATGAATGCAGAAAAGTACAATAGACTTGAATGAAGTGAGAGACTTGTGTAGGTTCATTTGAGCAAGAGATGTGTAACTGCCCTTAAGAAATAATTGTTAAGGAGAAAGAGAGAAGGGAATGGGAAGACTTAAAGAACCTGAAATAATTTAAGATGTTAAAATTAATGAGTTTCTGCTTTGGTGCCCATCCTAGCACCCTGAAGAACAATCCTGTATCTCAATTTTCTATTTAGCTACTAATGTACTGTCTCCATACAAATGATGGAAATCTATTGAAGTAGGAGCAGCACAAGATGCCCCTTCCATCCATCTCCTTTTGAGAAGAAGATAGGAGTGTGTGAGTGCTTCCAAGCAGGGAATGGATTAGATACTTCCCTTGCTGAGCGCTGTGGGATGCTGCAGGAGGGCAGAACGTGCTGCCTGCAGTCACCCAGACAGGAGATGCACAATGTCCATGTGGGGGGCAATGACCCAGACCTGCAGCTGCACTGGTAGGATTGGGGCTTTTGGTAGCAGAGATCCGTGTTGTGTTACCCACTGCTGCCAGTAGCAAGGTTTTGGAGTAAAGAAAGGGGTATTGAAAGAGATTGTCTGTCTTTGGCACAGGGATAAGAACTATGTTTTATTAAGCAATGGTAGTACAGTACAAAAATATGATTCTATACAGTCTGTGAAAAATATGGCACCTTTGAAAATAGCTTTTTCTCCTTTCATATGTTCCTTTCTTTTTAAAAATATACACTCTAAATGTTTCTAACCTTTTTTCCACCAGCATTAGGAAACCAAGGTCTTTAAATCACAGTGAAGATAAAGGGCAACCAACAGTGTAATTTGAATTGTCTTTGATTTGCTTTAAAATTAAAGATCTTAGAAGGGGCAGAAGAATAAGAAAAAACTTCCAGAAAAGTCTGAGGAAAACAAAACAAAAAATGTTCCTGTTTAGAGGCTGTGAGAATATTCAACATTTGAAATTGTTTGATGTTTTTAGGAGCAAAGTCCCCCAGCCCTGACCAGCAAAGGCCTCTAGGACAGGAGAATTAGGGCACTACCAGAGCCACAGAGCAGCTGTTCACAGGCAGCTGGTGCTTGGCCAGGGTCAAGGCCAAGCCCTGCAATCTGCAGCAGCCCATGTGCTCCCTCCTCTGCCCTGGACCCTGTTCAGCTCCTCTCTGATTTCCATGGTACCGTGATCCCAGATGGAAAGCCACTTTGATCAGGAATTGAAGTGGGAAAAACTCTTCTACCTGATCAAAAAATAATAAGTTTATCCAACTTTTTTTTTTTTATTTTTTCTCAATAATTTATATTTATGTCTAAGGAAAAAGAATTCCTGCTCATGAAGCGATAAACCTCCAACAACATCTGGAAATAATATTATTTGGGATAAAGTTCTCTTTTTCCAAAGAATCCAACTGAATTAGGACCCAATTTTGTCTCTTTGCTGCCAGATCAAACCTCTGTTTTATTCAGAGGTTTTTCTTCCGAGCCTTGTTCTTAAGAAGAGATAATAATTGCGAAGTTAAATTCCATCAATATTCCTGGAAGCTACCCTGCATTCTAACTAATAAATATAATTGCTGGCACTATCCAAGCAGCCTACTTTGAAGATGACATAGGTTATCAAAGTGAGTTCTTTTGCAATACAGAGACTAAACACAACCTAGTACAAATGGAGAAAAATGTTTGATTTTGAAAACTGCACAAACTTGCCAGGGGTTCCTAGGACAGTCTAAAGTCTTGCCTGTGTGGTGAAACTCTCTGGCAGGACATCCCTGGGACAGTTATCTCAGCACAGTCACAGCTTTACCAAGATCCCTGCGTGTTTCCTGTTGGGATGTGAGTGCTGCTGGCTGTCACTGTGCAGGCAGCTCTGGAGCTGGAAGATGGCTCAAATGGAAACTGGCTGCTTAAGAAGAGAAAATAATGCTGCTTGTGGTGGGCATCAAATGTGCCCAGTGTTTGGCAGAGCTGAACTGGAAGCAAAGGCAGGCTGGTAAGCCTTCTTATTTTAGTCTCTAAACTCCCTGGGCTCTACTAGCAGCTGAAGTGCTTCTGTATGGGCAGGGAACATAAGTATCTTTCTGATGATTTTTAGTACCTAACTGCCAGCCTCTGGCCTTACTCCGTGCCAAGAAGTGGCACTGGAGCTCTAGTGAAGCAGCAACTGTGAGTGTAACTGCATCTGCAACAGTAGGTGTAGGATGAACGTGGGATTCTTCAGTCTTGAGCTGGAGCAGAGTGAAGTGAGGTGGAAATGTCTTCCTTCTCCTTGCTCTGCTCTTGCCCTCGGGATGTAGGATCAAAACTCGGTTGGGTGGGAGGATGGTGCATGGGATTTCTTAACCTACAGGCAACTCCTGAGGGCAGCTGCAGTCAGGAAGGAAACCCACAGCACTGCAGCTGGCTGTGCCCTGGGAGCCACCCCGGGTAGCCAGGGGAGACTGAAGGTGTGTGAACCACGGCCAGATTGCCCGACTCCAAAGGGCGAGGTCTGGGCATCCAGGCAGGACCTTCTTTTTTTCCCAAATGACAGCAATTTGCAGTCATTCACCTGCGTGAGGAAGGAGCCGTGGTGCACGGGCTGCCAAGACTCTGCCCTGCTGCAAGGCAGGAGAGGAAATTCCCTGGATTTGCCTTTCATCTCAGACAAGGACACGCCGTTTGAAGCGATCGCGCAAACCGCAGCTGGCACGGCCGGCCGGCGCGCACCCGGGAGAGTTCAATAATTCAGCAAGCAAACCCAGAGCCAGCAGCAGACTTGGGCTCCAGCCAAGGCTCGGGACATTGTCCTAGCATCAAAAACCGCCTCTGCTTGACAGCTTGAGATCTCTCTGCTTGGGAAAGCACCGTCTGCCAGGGGAAGCAGAAATCCTCAGCCCACGGGTTTCCTGCTGCTCCAGTGGAGGGAAGGGGCTCGTGTGCTGATTCACACTCGTGTGGTGTGACCTTTCCCTATCTCAGCAGCGCAAAGGGACTCAGAAAGCTGGCTGGCTTTTGCCAAAATATTAGGAAATGCTGCCATTTGCCCTAGTCCACACAGTAACCACCACGGTTTTTATCTTTTCTCTCCCTTTCCCCCCTTGCTATTCTTATCCTTTGTTTCTTTGTTTCTTTCTTTTTTTAAATTTTTTTTTCTCCCTTTAAATAAAGTGTATTTAGTGCTGGTGAAAGGTGCTGAATTGGCAGCCTCAAAGATGGGTGTCCCCCTACCCAGTCAAGAGAGCCCTGGGGCTTTCTCTGGGCTTTGTCCACTTGGCACCACCCCTGTGTAGGACAGCTCACAGGTCCCTGGCTCCCCTGCCCTCTCCCATGCCTGCCTCTTGCTGTGCTGGCTGGGACACCTGTGGCTGAACATGACTCCAGCCTCCCTTGGGTGCCACTTGTCTCTGCCTTCATTTAGTGCCTAACCCAGACCAGACCCCAAGTGCTTCAGTGCAGACTGATTGTCTCTTCCTTCGTGCTCTCTTTTATCTGCCTTACTAAAGTGCAAACAAACACAGCTGAGTCGCCCTGGGTGCTGCAGCCAGCTCACACCCAGGGTCCCAGAGAGGCAAGTGGGACACCAAACCCTTAACTTGCCCGCTGGCCCCAAGCCAGGCTTTCAAGTCACACCCTAGAGGTGTTTGGCACATTCTCCCCTACCCCAAACACCAACACAAACGTGTGCTACCACTTGGCCAAAGGGAAACCCCTTTGCTCACCCATTCCCACCTCCCTCCACCCTTTCCCCATCCCCACCAAGCTGTGCCAGCCTCTGCCAGGTAGCAGCGAGGGGCAAAGCAGCCTGCTCCATCTTCCCATCCTCGTTAAAGGTAAATGCAGCACCAAAATAGATACAAAAATATAGTTTTGGGTCCATTGACCCAGCTTCACTATTAATATTACTGCTATGAAATGTCTGAAAATAAGAGCTGCTCTCTCTATACACACCTTCCCCCCCCCTTACTGACAGTATTGCCACATGCCCGGTCCTGTCACAACAAGGCAAGAAGATGCCTGTTTTCTCTATATTTTAAATACAATCACTTCCATCCCCCCATTGCAAACAAACATGGTAGAAAGGGGTTTGGAAAAAAAACCACCAAAACCGACCAAAACAAATGAAAGAAACCCTATTTAAAAAACCCTTCATAATTTCTAGCATTCTGAATAGCATTTCTGCCTCCTGGGACTCGAATTCTGCCAGGTTGTTTGAAAGTACATAAGGTACCTGTGATTTCTGATGAAGGCCCTGATGTCCTTCCTGTGTTTCCTTAGGAAGCTCTCTGATGGGGATGAGAGAGATAATGTATTTGCTTTCCTCTATGCAAAAGTCACAAAGTGTTTGATCGGCAAACCCATGACTAAAAAAAAGTAAATATATAAAATAAACAACAACCCGCAGCCTCTTTCTTAAGTTTCCCCATCTATCTAGTTTTCAAAGTGCAAAACCTAGAGAAGCATAGAATTATTTTCTTGAGGTGTTTTTCCCCTTTTGTTAGGGCTTTTTTTCCCCATGTGCCTGACTGGTATGGCCTTTTGATAGCAAAAGTCAGATAAAGCATAATTGCAGTTGTTTCTGCACATGGAATTATGAATCATTCCAGTGACTTGAGAATCTAAGCTGTTAATAGGCTAAAAAAAAGGATTTTTTTTTGTTCATCTTCTTTTTTTTTTTTTTGATTGTTTTCTTTTTGCATTATAATTAAGCATGAATATATATTACTATATTACACTGCTTGGATTGCTGGAGCAATCCAAACCTTCCTATGCTGTAAAACTAACCCCCACCCTGCACTCCCAAGATCAAGAGTTTCTTTTCTCCTCCCTGTGCCAGTTGTCCTCAGTTCACATGATTAAAAGTCCCTCCCAGCCCCCCTCCCCACGTTTGTTTTTTTTTTTAGTAGATATTGCCGCATTCTTAAATTCATGCATTGCTGCATTGCTATTGCACATATATAAAGGATCGCTCGCTCCCTCCCAGCTGCTCCCCTCCCCTCACTGGTTGTGCACGTCCTCTCTGCGGACGATCTTGTAGATGATCCAGTAGAAAATGTTGAAGATGAGGAATGCCATGGGGAAGCCGATGCGGGAGATCTTGTCGATCTTCTTGGCTCGCTGGATGAAGAGCTTCCGCATCTCCTCGGGCGAGCGGGATGGCGGCGGCACCGGGTTGGCCGTGTTGTTGTTGTTGGCCCCCTTGACAGAGATGCCATCCTTGGCTTGTAGGCAAGCTGGTCCCATCCCGTAGGCAGTGAAGTTGAACCTGCCCTCACCAGCTTCATCCTCCTGAAACAGATTCAGCATGGGACTCTACTTAAAATGAGATATAGACAGTGCACCCTCGCTATAAGGCTCTCCGCTGACAGGTTCCTGCTCTGCACGGGAAAAATGCTCCCACCATGCCCCGACCTCAGCACCCTTGGACAAACCCCCTGCTCTTGGGAGTTCAGCCTTATAGAGGGGTGCCAGCTGTGTGATGCACAGATGCAAATCAGGGGATCCAGGCACCCCATGGAGAACAGGACTGACTTCCACCCCATCGAGCTCTTTGACATATTGAAGGGTTTATGGTACTGCTTTAATTTTTCCAATTGCATCCCCTGTTTTGCTTCTGCCTCTCCCTCCCCCCCCCTCCTATCAGCACCTTCTTTGCTTTGCCTGTGCAGTTGCAGCTTGCCCAGAAGGAGTGGGCTCCATGTAACTCACGTAGTTGAAGCTACAGTGTGAGACTTCCTACAGAGTTACATGGATGTGCAGGAGCCAAGACCTGACCAGGAAAAGAACTCTGCAGCCAGCGTGCAACCAGCCCTCTGCTTGCCTGCCCATGGGACCCCTCCAGCCCCACAGCCCTTCCCACAAGCCAACTTTTAGGTGAGGAACAGAAGTGCCCTTCTGTGGGTTGATGTTAAGACGTGGCTGCTTTTGATAATGCCGATTACTGAGAAAAAAATTGATTTATTTTCCAATTTAAAGGCGAATGTCATTGCTGGGGTTTTTTTGGTGAAAATCTTGCTGGTGTCTCAGAATGATTTAGCCCTATTTTATTGAACACAGGGATGTAACCATTACAGTCCCTATGTGCCAGGACCTATGTCTCCCCATGTACCCCAGTAAATACAGACAGCATAATGAGTTTGGAGAGAGCTGTCTATCTGATCTCTCTAGTCTAATCCAGAGGGAAAAAGTTAAGAGGTGGCTCAAAAATGGAAAGGGCCAAGTGAAACCGGGCAATGGGTTGATTTATTTCATTGGGGTTTTTTTTGAGAGGAAGAAAGACTCCTAACGATGAGGATAAGTTAACACCTTGCATCTAACTGGCAAAAGCCAGAAACAGATTTTTCTGGATTCACTGGTATTAATGCCAGACCATGGCACTGTGTCTGGCACATTGAGCTGTGAAGAATAGCCAGTAGGTTTTGATGCAGACCTAATAAGTATGGGCATGGGCTTGTCCTCTCCCCAGCTGCCTCCACCAGCATGGACCACTACAGCATCTCACTTGTTTTTAGCCTGGCATCTCACACCTAAACCAGGCACAGCTACCCAGACAAATCAGGACATCAGGACAGAGCAATTAGGCTCTTTGGCAGCTGGACTAACCCATTTGCATATTAGCAGTCAGATTTTAGTTTTCTGATGAGCCTGCAAACCTTGTTCATTTCTATTTTGCAAATGTTTTTGTTTATACTTTGTTCCAATTAAATTGCTGTGAGATTGGGCAGGGAGTGTACTAGCAGCCTTGTGTTCAATGGAACAGTTCTGGCAAGTATCTCTTTAACTTGTCTGTGTACTAGTGGCTTTTTTTCTCTTTATTGTTTTATCAACAGACTGATCTGCATAAAACAGCACAGATCCAGGGACAGGATGCCTGAATCCAGATGAAGAGATAAAAGCACTATGAGGCACCCATGTGGGTGGGTTTAACTTTGGCTCAATTCAACGGGCTGCACTTTCTGAACCAAAACTATCTCCACTGATTTTGGGATGGCAGGGCCTTGTTCTGGTCAGACAAAGTTAATGGGTGCTGATGGTCTCATCTGTTACTTCTTTTCCCTTGCATTTGTCCCACATTTTTCCTCCCTGGACTGACTGTTGGACACAAGTGAACAATTATGTCCTGTTTTACATATCAGACGACTGAGGCAGAGAGAGGAAAACCTACAACAATACAGGGATTCCTGCTCCTCAGCCCTCAGTTGCTCCTGGAATGGTGGCAGTTCTCCAAGCATACACTGTGAACTACTACAGGACAGGTTAGACCTTGGGAAAGACTTTTAAAGACTGGGACAGTGAAGCAATGAAATGGGGGGAGGTCTCTGGATGGGATGGATCATGAGGACTCTTTAAAATAGAGGGTGGACAAATTTACCTACGAGGTATAAACAATATTCCTTGTTACCTATGAGGAATATTTAAGGCAGACCTTGGTGGTCACCTAGGGGCTTACTTGATATTTTTATCAGCAAAATTTTCTTTGTTTTTTCTTTCCTAGCAAATGTACTGTTTTTTAATGATAACCTGAGGACAGCCTCTCAGGCTGAAAATTTGCTAACGCCTTCCTGATTCTAGCAGTTAATTAAGGACAATTTTAAGTTTTTGGCCTTTGATCACAGCCACCTTTGTGTTTCTTTCTAGTGTATTCTGTGAGGTGAAGTCTTTGCTGTGGCACCTCAGCCTAAAAGCCAGTAGAGCCCTGGCTGCAGGAGATGAATGTCATTGCAATGCACGCTCAGATTGGCATCAGCCATGGCAGGTAAGCATGGAGCGAGGCTAAGGCTGAGAATAAAGCTATTTCCTTCCAAGAGGAATTTGCAGTCAGTCTGAGAAGCAGATGCTTTTGAACACAGAGATGGCAGAGACAAAAGAGGTGTCACTTACCTCCAGGCTAAAGCAGGCTGTCTTGTTGGGGGGATGCTGTTCTCTGATAGACATACCTCACACCTCCCTGCCTGCCTCCCCCCAGCCCTGGCTGCAGCTTCTGAAGAGGAGAGCTCAGACCAGAACGTTGCTGTGTGAATTGTTCTGTTGTGAACAACTCTTTTGGCTTAGACCACTTGGCTGGCTAACAAAAACCAGCCTGCTGGACCCCTGGGGTCAGCAGGCTGTTAGAACAGACACAATTCACTGAGGTAACCCTGGTGTTTTGATGTGTGAGCCCCCCTAACACCTGATCACATACTGAGGACTTCCCTGGGAGCTCATGAGATTTCAGCTGTGTCCTTCATGCTTTATGTATTACCTTATGATGCCTCCTCTTCCTTCTGAACCTGAGCAGCTCTTTGTGCTGCCGAGACACGAAGTTGACAGCAGCATATTCTAGAAGTGCAGAGAACACAAACAGCAAGCACACAGCCATCCAGATGTCTATGGCCTTCACGTAGGACACCTGGGAGTCAGAAAAAGAGACTGAGATGGGATGGCTCCTTCACCCAAATGCCTTTTTGTTGCAGTTTTGCATGTTACTCTTAAGGTCTTTGAAAGGAGTTGACCAAGCCATGATAAGGTTGACATCTGCTCTTGGATACCAGAATCTAGTTCATTTAACATGAACGTACTATCAGTTCACTGAAACTGCTCCTGGTCTCTTAAGCAGCAATAATTCTACAGTTTTTAATTTATCCATGTTTTGATTGTGCTTTTTTATGTGCAAGGAAATTAGTAATCCAATCTGATCATACTGGAGGCCCTTCATAAAGGGATATTCAGTACTATTATAAAAGTATGATGGTCAACTGACTAAAAAGCTAAAATGTACAGGGCATATCCATGTGGCTTGTTGCAGGGGTTTGTATGGTACAGTGCTCCTGGCTACTGGGAGCTGTGGTGAGTGCTGAATCTTGAGGGGAAGTTTCACTGCTAGTCATAGAGAATCTATAACTTTTCAGGATGGAATTGGAATTTTTTCTGTTTGCCCTTATAATGGAATAATGGAATGGCAGCAGAATGCCTCTTGTGTTGAGCAGGACGATTTGCGTGGTCATTTACTTATATATGCTATCCGCAGAAGGTGTATGTTTTGCCCCTGGTGAAGATAAGTTTGTTCCCTACCTTGGGCAGTGATGCTCGGGAACCAGAGCTCTGTGTGGTCATAGTGAGCACTGTGGTGATCCCCAGGCCAACACGAGCTGGTGCAGCATCCATGTTGATCCAGAACGAGATCCAGGACAGAATGACAATAAGGAGACTGGGGATGTACATCTGGATCAAGTAATAGCCCATCTGCCTCTCCAGGTGGAAACGAGCTTCTATACAGGTGAACTTGCCTGAGGAGGACAGGAGATACGTGGAAGATTACTGGTAAGGCACGGTGAGCCTCCTGTTTTCAGCCAATGTCTGAGGATTTTCCTTGCATTGCCTAGAACCAGAGTCTTGTTAGAGGAGGAAATGAACAACTGTTGCCCAGTTCTGCAAGGGCATGTGGTGACAGGACAAAGGAAAATGGCTTCAAACTGAAAGAGAGAAGGTTTAAATTAGATATTAGGAAGAAATTCTTCCCTGTGAGGGTGGTGAGGCCCTGGCACAGGTTGCCCAGAGAAGCTGTGGCTGCCCCATTGCTGGAATTGTTCAAGGCCAGGTTGGATGAGGCTTGGAGCAACCTGGGCTAGGGAAGGTGTCTCTGCAGGGGAGTTGGAACCAGATGATCTTTAAGGTCCCTTCCAACTCCAAACATTCTGTGATTCTATGGATATCAACATAGCAAGGAAAGCTCTTGTCACTATGTCCTTTGTCACTTCAATTTCAAAAACAAAAGAAGATTCTGGGAGAGAAAGTCCAGACCAAACACCCTTGAACTGACAGAGATGTTACTGGGGACAAGAAGATTTCACACATTTGTGTCCATTAGCTTTTCACTAACTATATATGTGTACATTTACTGGCAAAATACCTATGTGTATTTGTATGTCTGTTGTCCCTAGATGTGTAGGACAAGGCCTGTATCAGCTGAGTGACACACACAGCAAGAGACTGGCAAATGCACAATCTGACTTCCTCTCTACTGAACCCAGCAGATGAGGGTAAACAGCACTGACCTGTGTTGTAGTGCTTTGTGCAGTATCTCAAGTCTTTTTCTTCTTTGAGGATAAACTGAGGCAATGTCAGCCCGTCAGCAACTTGCACCGCTCCTTTTTCTTGCCACTCAAATATGAGATCATTCATTGTGTAGCCAACTGTTGAGAGGAGGGGACAAATACCATGTGAAACACATTAAATAAAGGGACAGTGTTGCAGAAGAGATCTATGTTTGGAGGCAGGGGTGTGCCCTGGCCTTCCTTGGCAATGCTGTCATAAACGGGATTTGGGTTGAGGCAAAACTGCTTGTGCATGTGATGAGAACCAAGGTGATGAGCTGCAGTGGAGCTGCAATGGTTTGCAATGAATTGTGTGTAATAAATCACATTTTTTCTTGAATTGGGCTTTGTTGAATTTGTTTTCTACTTTTTCCAACTTGACCTCTTTCTCTAGAAGAAGCTCCTCGTCTTTCCCTCCTTTGGTATAAGCAACATGTACAAGGGGCAGATGTTCATCCAGAGACACAAAATGCAGCTGAAAGCACTTTCACCTCTCTCCTCCAAAGTTAAAGGCCAGTGTAAATACAAGCAAGCCAGGGCTCCTTGCATGGGATCTTTTAAGTTTTGGCTTCTCTAGAAAATGTCACATATGCTGAATGAATGGAAAATCCTGAGCAAGAGGTTCTTGAACAAGACTCCAGTGAAGGCTGGGCTGGGAATGGGTTGCACCTGGGAAAGGAGATGGCAGGGGAGAGGGAGAGGGAAAACAGGTGGTCTCCTTTCCAAAATGGGGATATGCACAGGACTCACAGCTTTCTAACTGCATGATGCACGTCTGTACGTCCATGGGGAAGTTCTTCAGGTCCATGGGGCAGGCCAGAGTCAGTGTGATCCTGAGGAGAGAAGAGAGCACAAGGGAATGCCAAACAGTTTGTGGTACTGCTGAGGAGTGAACCTCCTCAGACATCCAGTGCTGCAAACAGGCTGGGACCTGGCCCAAGACACACTGGTGTGCTGGGGGGAATGACTGATCATTCGCCACTTCCCTGCCTGTCTCTTCTCACATGTGGTGTTGGAAAGCAACAGAAATGCTGAACATTTGGGTCTGTGATATGATTCCCAGCAGAGTTGCCTGCTGCAGATGGTGTTTCATTGCAATGTTGTTTTAGACTGTGCAGAACAAAGAGTTCCCACACCAAACAGTTCTGCTGCTTCGTTTTTCTGTTCTTGCCTCAGGTTCACAACAGTCTGGATTAGCAGCAAGCCCAAGCCCAATATATGGGCCCCCAGATACATTTGTAGAGACTGGGACTGTTTGTAAATATCTGAATAGAACATTTGTGTCCTAAAAAAAACCAACCAAACAAAAAAGACCCAACCAAAAAGAAATTTGTTCAAGATCATATGCTTCTGTGGGGGGAGAGGCTTCAGTGGGATTTTCTGCAGGGAAAATGCCCTGTGCTAAGTCAATATGAACTTCTGTGTCTTCCTGAATTCCTGCTGAGCCCCTTGAGACCTCTGCTTCTGTCTTCATTTTCCACTAGGTGCAGGCTGCATTTTCTGTGGTATATTGCTGTGCTGCCCTGTACCATGATCTATGCTTAAAATGTTTCTTTGGTTCAACAAGCTGATACTGAATGATTTGTTTCAGATAGTTAGACTTGTGTTATTTGGTTTGATAATGTTGAAAATGCTGTTCCCTGAAGTGTTTAGGATTTTCAGCTTTTTGCCTTGATGTAGAAATAGCAGAACTACCCGGGGGACAGAAACTGAATTTTTCTATCATCAGACCTACAAGAAACTTATCAAAAGGGAAAGATACTTTAATTTAAAACCTTATAGTGGAAGAAATTCTCTACTTGAGTTTAGAGGCATGTTTGGACAGAAGATGTGACAAAGTCCATCTTCTTGTAAATGCCTTGCCTAGAGTTTGATTATTGCAAATACCAGTAGTCAAGAGCCAGTTAGAGAATGGCAGAGCACTTAAGAGAGCTTTTTTTTTTTTTACAGGGAAAGACTATTTCTCCTTTTGGAAAATTTGCATTTACATTGTGCTCTTTCTTTTTTATTTTCATAGAAAAATTTACATATAAAGAAACCTATATTTTCATTTGGAGATGAGTGAGATAGCAAAGTGTGGGTTTTTTTAAACAAGAACTGAAGCTGTTTTCAAGTTTTTACCTTGGAAACAGTGATCAATTCAGCCATGTCCCCTGCTGAGCCATTGCTCTGTTTTGCAGAGCAAACCCTAAGGCTGGGCTGACCCATATTTCCTCTCTGTACTCCTACAGACCCACGTGGAACAGGACTCTGTGCCATGCTCACTGCCAGGTTGCTGGTGGCAGTTTTACTCCCTGCCTGGTTTTAGAAATTAAGAAGTGTGAGGTTTCCATATTCAACCAACACACGTGGCAATTCTCTTATTGTTTTGGCCATCAGGGAGCTGGTCTTTGGGCTGGAACCACCTTGATGTTTGATGGAGGTTGTCTAAATTGCAGCATTAAGGTGTTTATTTTCCATTTTACAGCTCCATGGTGCTTTTTTTTTCCCATGGCTGCCACTGGGAGCTGCAGTGTGAGACGGGGTGTGTGAACCAAAGGCAAATTTACATTACACATGAGGTGAAAAAGTCTTCAATATAGAGTTCAACTTTCTCTGTTTATGCTCATGAAGTTTGATCTTAGTTTCACTGTTTTCAAATAAAGAGTGGATGGGGTTGGAAGTGAAGGTGGGGGATCAGATGGATTTCCTGCAGGAAATTCAGTGCAATTAGTTCAGCTCCACTGATGGGTTCTTGGGTCTAGTGATAAAGGGATAACTGCGAAGAGTTGAGACAAAGCCATTGAGCCCTACTTAGCATTTTCCCTATTTTTTTTTTTGTCTGGAAATGCTGCAGCTTTGAAAGCAGAGTTTTTATGAGCTTCTACTAGTTTTCACAGAGTACAGCTGGTTTTAGGCTTGTGCTAGTATAAAATATCTCAAGTAATTTTACATTAGGGATGTTATGGACTCTGTGGAATCTAGAGAGCAGCCTAAGTTCTTGGACTGGCAAATGTAAAGATCAGCTAGATTCCTTCCCAGACCAACTCTCTGTCTCAATATGCTTTGGCAGAGGTCCCTTCCCAACACATTGCTATGGCACTGTTAACTGTGTGACCTCCCACCTTAAAAAACCCTAAACTTCTTTTATCCTTCATCATGCTCTAGGCTTGAACAGTGGGAGTTCAGCTCTGTCCTCCCCTACCTTTGTGGGACTCTTCCCACGGCGTCACCTCACCTGATGCTGTAGAGGACGTTGCCATTTCGGGAGATCCTCAGCAGCTTGTTGTCTGTGGTAATCTCGTGGAAGTGGGCCCCTTTCTCATTAGCAAAGAACAAGTCAGGCTTCCAGATGGAGTCCAGCATGGAGGGGTCCAGGTCCAGGGAGTCGTCGGGGTACTCGTTGTACGCCAGCCGTGGGTCATTCCACTGCTGTCGCAGGAAGATGTTCACCCTGTAATCCTGCACGGCGTGAACAGAGAGACACAATCAGTGCTCAGAGCAGGCTGAAAGCACTGAGAACTGGGGAGCATCTATTAAAATCGTTCTCAAAACCAAACCACAGCCAGGCCTAGCTATGCCAAGCAGTTTTGGTTTTATTTCTCAAGGAACTGTTATCAATTTTTAGCTTTGTAGCTTACGGCTATTTCATAGCATGAGCAGCTGCCTGTCCTTGCAACCCTCTGTTACAGCAATTGTCAGCTGTGTGTGAAGTGTCAGGACCTCTCGTCTGGACCCTGGGGCTGGAGAGGAGATGTGCACTTGTGGAGGTCACAATGGCCCCTGTCAGCAGGATGATGTTGCAGAGGATTAAGAGGGAGGGGGAAACTGAAGCCAGCTTCCTTTCAGTGCTGAACCTTCCCATATTGTGACTATCTGTGGTTTCCCCAGACTTGGGAAAGAAAAAGGCTCTGTGAGACAGGCAGTCCATGGAAGGGAAATTCCTGTGTGTCCAATAACATGAGGGTAACTCAGATGAACTGACGGGAGCAGCTGCCTTTGGTGAGAGTCTGTGAACATGAGAAAGATGTGCCTGAAGTCTGCTCTCCTAATGCTCAGTGAGTGTTCTGGGTTCCCCTCTCTAATTTGAAAATGCCATAAATGCTGCAGATTTTATAGGACGGTCATCTTCTTTAATTGTAACTAGTCCCTCATCACTATGCAAAATTATACCTGCTTCATAACCACGAGTCTTACAGCTCCCCTAAGTTCCCTAGGCCAAGGCTGGTTGCTGAGGCTGAGCTCAGACCCTCTCCTGGACAATTAAAGGCAGTTTCTGTTCTCCCTGTCTGACCAATAGCTTCCCTGGGTGATCTGCCTGCTCCTTTTCTTCTGACTTTCACATGAGAAAGTGAGCCAACAAATTGAAATGGGGAGAGGATGTGCCAGCTATCAGGAGAGGGATAAAAGCTCCATGTCCATAAATTAATTGACATTTTCTAAGTATAGAGGCAGACTGAGTCTGAAGAACAGTCTGTAATAAACCCATTTCACTGCCCTGGCCCAAACGAATAGTTGCTCTCATGATTAAGGGTTTCTTGGGTGCCTTTCTAGTACTAATGTACTTTGAAGACTTTTATTAAGAGACAATTAATGGGGATTGTGTCTGATATGCTTGCTGGTATCTATTACCTGCTTCAGGCACTTGGTGAGAGAATCTCCCTGGCTCTGCTAGCGTGCCTGTTCTTTCTATCTGGAGAACACAAAGCTCTGGAGTTGAAGGGTGCATGTGTAGCAGAGTCTTTCTGATGTTGCTCACTTGACTATGAACCTACAGCCTGTTGTCCAGGAGGACACGACTCCTGTGTGTCCAGTCACACTGGAGGGTTGGGAGAGGATTGTGTTGGATACCTTGTGTTTTGGATGAGGCAGTTCATAGCCAAGCACATGGTCTAGAATCTGTTTCAGGCCACTTAGTGCCATCTGCGTCCTCAGAGCACAGAAGCTGCTAATGACATTAACAATTGTGACAACAGCAAATGAACCAAGCACTTGACACTAAAAGGAGCAGACCTCTGAACATGAAAAAGACTTGCAACACTCTTTCTTTCTGCTGATATCCCAAATGTCACCTTCACAAGTCCTAGTGCATCCCTCTGACTTAATTATTCATCTCTGTCAACCCTGGATAATGTGTCTTGAGAAAATGTGAATAGCTGAGGACAGCTGAGAGCCAGGGTCTAAGTGCAGGACCAGCCAATGACGCAAGCCTGGAAGGGGAGAGTAACCCTGAATTTCCATTTTTCATGGCACACAGCAGCTCCCAGAACAACGTGTATGTTTTCAGTTCTCCCTTTTCTATGTGTAAAGATCTGCAGCCATTGCAGTCAGGGGAAATCAATGTCACTGACCTAATAGGTAGAAAGCAAAAGGTTGTTTTGCTTATTCAGCTACAAATAAGGTAGATGTGAGCAGGTCAGCTCCAGTTTGGGACTTATGTCATGTACAACACAAATTAAACTCATGTTTGGAAGAAACTTCAGCGGTAGCTGCCCAGAAGTGTGCTCAGCCTGATGGAGTGGTGGAGGGCGGGGGGGGGGAATGGAGCCAATCTCCCTGCAACAGTCTGTGTCACTGTGGATAAGCTTTGTTGCTGGAGTAAATTCACTGAATCAGCTTCAAAACTTGCCAAAAGGTAATGAAAGGGTGAGACAAGAGGTGTAGTGTGGTTTATGTTGCCACCACAGCAGGCATGAGAGACCACAGGCAGAATGACAGCCACAGTCTTTGTCACCATGAGGAGGTATCTTAAGTGCCATGGGCCAAATGAAAATTAACTTCTTACAGTAGATGGCTGTGAGAAGGTCCCTCCTAATTAATCTCCAGAGTCAAGGTGTCCTATACTCATGTCCTACATGGAAACAGTGCAGGGCCATGTAGTGAATGTGTGGTGTGAGAGCCTGCACCACCTCCCTCCAGGGGATGAGCAGCAGTGTAGTAACTCAGGGTTGTGCTACTCTGTGCTCCTCCTTTGGAGACAAGTGTTTACAGTGGATATTTTTTGTTTTGGAATACAGATAACCAAGCATTTATGTATATGTATCATATATATGATATAAAAAAAGGCAATGACAAAGAAATATAATACATGGGCTGAATGCAATTCTCTGGCTTTGCCATTTTATGGCATTAATATTTCACCTCTGTGTGTGATTTGATGAAGGTCTTCCTACTCAGTAAGTTCACAATCCTGGCCTGGCCACTGAGAATATTGTTTTCTCACAAATGCCTTTTCCCTTGTGTCAGGCAGCTGCATCACACTGGGGTATGGAAGGTTCTGAGCAGCCTTTTAGGTTCCTTGTGTCCAGCCTTATTTGAACATAGATGTAACACCAAGCACTGTGGCTGCAAACTGGACATGACAGTGCCTGAGGAGCCAGCAGAAGGCATGGAGAGCAATTGGGGTATGTCTGTGGGTTACAGAACTCTGCACCATCTGAAGAACCCTGTGTGCTGAAAGCTTTGTCCTGGGCACTGCAGTGAAGCTGAGGGGTGATGAGCCAAACAACACTCATTTGCTGGCTACCTTGAGATATGCGGCATTTCTCCTGGATGCTGCTGTATGAGATCTTAATTAGCATCACCAAGATGTCCACAGTTATTCCTAAATGATGGACACAATGGACCAATTTATGATGTGAACTTTCAAGCAAAGGAAAAAGAGGTTTGACTGGGGCTGCAAACTCAGCCAAAAAAAAAAAAAAAAAAATCTCTTTCTCCATATCCTTCTTATGACTGGAGTTCCTCATTTGTGTGCCAATCACATCCAGGCATTGATTATCTTGTGCAGCCTGCTCCTCTGGCTGTCTTGGGAGTGGGGAGCAGCAGCTCTGTGCAGTGAAGGCATTCAGGAGCTTTGCGATTTGGCACAAAAGGCATTTTACTCCCAAGGGGGAAACGACACAAGGCAGAAAGAAAAAAATAACTGAAGTGATCAAAGTAGTTCAATTTGATAATGCTGAAATGAAATTCTGCTCAGTGACCTCGCAAGGAGACAAGGAAACAGAAGATCTTTTGAGACCTTTCCTTCCCAAGATCCCACAGCCTTGGCATCTGCTGCTGAAAGCAGTGGCAGGCTGGAGGCAGTGCTGTGAGGAAGGGATGGAGGCTGTCAGGGAACTCAGTGGGTTTCAGCCCCTGACTCAAGAGTTCTGTCAGAGCAGCCTCTGCACTGAGCAGTTTTGGTGAGAGGCTTCCCTTTGATAAATTTACATTTTGCTGATGGAATAATTAGGGTGGAGACTGAACTCCCTCAGAAGGGGATTCTGTGATCCCACCTGGGCAGAGTATAAGGGGCTTTAGTAACATGGAGTTCATTCTCTCGAAAGGGAATGAGCAAACACCTTTAAGGGTACTTGCCTTGGAAAAGAAGCACTATAGCTGTCCACAAAAACAATGAGCACACCAGGAGCTGCCCTTGGAAGGGTTAACATGGCTAATAAGGTTAATAACCTCCTTACTTTATCAGAGCTGTAGCAAAGTAGCCAAACTGAAGCCTGGTGTGAAATCACACCACACCTAGGCCAAAGGGAGGTACCCCTGAGGAGGAAGTCAGAAGAGGGCAGTGCCTGGTGAGGGGTGGGAGCAGTACCCTGGTGCTTAATAGGTGTGGGGTTTTTTGTGCTGGAACCTGAAGCAGGAAGTTTTTCTGTGTCTTCCTACAAAAGGAGGGGAAAGTTTATCTCTGTGAGCCAAGGATGGAGCTGCTGGTGAGTGAGTTGTATCCAGCATCCTGAATTTCAAGTGTGTTTAGTTGTGAGGTCTTGTTCTTCAGCTCGAGGGTTTTTCGTGTCCTTGGATTTGAGTTGCATGGTTCCATTTCATGGCTACTTTTTTTTTTCTCCCCTCCCTTCTTTATTCAATGCAAAGACAAACTCCAGCCACACACACAGCTGAAACACTGCAGCTCCAACAGTGAAATGGCAGCAGGCTGTGTGTTGTTGTGAAAACCTTTTCATTTTGTGCTGCATGACTTGTTATATGCTTATCATCTCTGTGGGACTGATGGTTGGGTTTAAGAATGACTGACTGCAGAAAACTTTGCTCAAAACCTAATCTTTCCTACAGGCTTTGTGCATTGATACTCACATCTTTTACTGATCTTGGGGTGAGTGGGGCTGGTATTAAATGTGTGACCCATACACTTCATCAGACATATCTGCTGCACTGTGGCTTGTGAGGCTGGAATGAATTTTTTGGTCTGCTTTGCAGGATGGTTTATTTTCTTGTTGGAAATCTCATGTTCAGTTGCCTCTGGGCCCATACTTAAAACTTGGACAGTGGCAGCCTCCAGCTTCTCCTGTCCTTAGGAGATTCTGGGAGCCCAGTTGTGGCTGTGTTGCAGCTGGAAGGTCACATTTAGTTTGCTCTTTTCAGATGAGATAACTATAGCATGAAAGCAGCAAAAATAAATTTGCATATATATGCTGTGTCTAGGGGAGCCTGTGCTGACTGTTTAGTGATTTTCTTTCTTTTTCACTCTCTACTTTGCTGCAGGTTGGTCCTTTTTAAAACATGGGACTGGACCTTGAGTCCAGCTTGCACTCTAGGTGATGATGTAAAAAAATATTCCTCCTTCTCCATCTGCATTCACTGTGTACAAAATGCTCCCAACTGCCTGAGTCAGTGAGAGGACCATAAAATTGGGGCTTCCACTGAAAGAGAGAGCCAAGGGTATCACTTAATTTCAAGTTTGCTGTTATAGTAGGGAATTTATTAATTAAATGCTCAGATAATCCTACCAGTTGTCTCATGCTACAAGGAAAAGCCAGAGCTGGTGCAGTTTATTCACTTAAAACCGAGACCTGTTCCTGAGATTATTGACTTCTGTTTGTTTTGAATGAGGAATTTGTACATCTGCTACAGATTTTGTGTGGGGTTTGGACTTGGGTGGGGGGGGGGGGGGGGGATTTGTTTATATTTTTGAAGAGCAAAAAGGGATTTAACATCTTGCAATTGAGGGTTGTTTGGTGTTTTTAATACAAATAGTTGGAAAGAGTGGATGCATCTTGCACTTGTCCTTGGGAATCCCTTGCTGTTGGATGCACTATTGCAGTAATGCTTTAGGACAGGAGTCTGCACTCATCTGGCTGCTGTGGTTGGTCATATCTTTCCCCTGGAAGCACTGGTTGGGTTCACAGGGGTGTGTTCCCAGTCACAGGTTCCCTTGTCCTTAGAGCTCATGGCAAGTGAGGCTGATGGATATAAGCTACGAGCTGCAATCTAACATAAATGTCCAATCAATTATGTGCACCACTAGAGGCTTTTATGTGGAGTTTCCAGTTCTCCAGGATTCTTAAAGGAGTTACTTCCCTTCTCTAAGTCAGGTCTGCTTTAGGAGTTGTGTTTGCTGGATGATTTTTCCTTCTTTTTTTTTTTTTTTTTTTAATTTCCCTTAACTTTACAGCAGTTTTCAGATCTCCATTTCTTGCCTTGTTCCTCTTGAACCTTTCTGGGGCTTTCTGCCCACTCAGTGGAGTCTGTGCTTTCTCTTGGCCCCAACTCATTTTCCTTCCTTCTGAGGTTTGTAGACTCAAGTGGCTGTGTCAAATACCTGGTTTGTTCTATTTTTCTGTATTTTCTCCTCTTCCTCTACCTTCTGTCATGCCTTAAGCTGTGAGTGAGCACTGACCTCCAGTTTCTCTAATCCTCTGCATGGTGACCTCATAGTTTACACTGCTTTGTGATATTCAGGCATTATAAACTAAAATGATAGCAGTGATATTTTCTATACGATGTAACAGCCCACTAAGGAGATGTTTGAAAGCCTTCTCCAGCTGCATACGTGGTATCCATAAAAACCTGTGACTTCTCTTGCAGGTAGTAGTGCAACATTTAAATATAAGCTGGCATAATACTCAGACCTGAACCTGACCAGGCCTAATGATGGGGGTTTAAACCATAATGTTCTTTCTCTTTTTGGCCAGTGAAGCAGCTGGGGGAGTTTTGTCATCATCAGTCACAGGGGTCAATGTTAGACTACAGCTTTCTTTATGGTAAAACATTGATTTGCCTTCCTCTGCAAACTTCCACCTCTCCTCTCCTTCCCCTGATACTTGGCCACAAGTTCCACTTGTTTGAATTCAAAGTAGCCAAGTCTGTCCTCAGATCCCTTCACAACAGGACCGTCTGTTGTTCCCAAAAACTGCACTGGGGAGCTCACACTGCCTGTTTGACCTGCTGCATCCTCAAACAGCAGGGAGGGACTGGCTTCTCTGCAGAGTAAGTCCCAGGTTATGAATCCCAAGGACCCCTCTAGCTTGCTGAGATCTCCTTTTTAAATGTTTCAGTACCTGTGTTGCTTGTGTTCTGGTTGATGTTTACAAGCAGAATTGCTGTTCCCCAAGAAGTGCATTATACCAGGCTGTGTGCAATGCTGTGGCAGCCTGACATCTGGACTAGCTTGTCAGAGCTGCCTTGGATATTTCTAGACAAAGCAATGTGCCCAGAGGGTGTTCTTGGGTTCCCATGGGAATTTTTTTTTCCTGTGGAAGACAGACTATGAAATGAGTGGCATCTGGAGAGGATAGCAAGTCCCTGCAGCCTGTCTTGGAGGTGAACTGCATCTCTGGCTCTCTCTCATGCTAGTCTATGCTAATTTCATGGAGCATCCTGCTTACAGAGATCATGTGGCATATTTGTATGACTGCTCCAGTGCATCTCACAATGTAGGACATATGCACTGAAAAACATGTCAATGGAATGTGCTCTGTACATCCCACAAGGATCCTTTGTGGGCCTGCCCTGCTCCCTTGCACTCTGGATTGTCTCTGCTGGTTGTGTAGGAGCAGTATTTCTTGCCTGTAAGGCCAAAGGAGATATCCAATAAAATAGTAAATTAGCAGCAGATGTGTATTTCAATTCTAGTTCTTCCTCTATTGCTTTATATACAAATGAATCCACAATACGCTTCTTGCCTATGAACTCTGATAAATTCTGCAATCCAAGTAGGAAATCTGTTTCCTTGTACTTGGACAGAATAACAGCTTTTTTTTTTTTTTTTTCCTATTACCAGAACTGAAGTACCCCAAATACAAACACTTCCAGCAGAATGGTATTGTGTCAGAAGAGACTTACAACCCCAGGTGAATGGCTGTGGATCTCCTCTGACAGTGGTGTGCATGCCAAGTAATTTGTTCAAGTCAAGGGGTGTGATCTATATGTAAAGCCTATAAACTCCTGCCTGAATGCACAGAGTGCCTGAAGCTGGAGCCTGGTATTCTTCATTCAGCATTTTTCTAGAAAAAGAATTACCGAAGGGTAATTAAACACCATATTTCTGGATTATCTTTAATTAGCACAGCAGTAAGGCATTGTACCTCCAGAGTTTTCCTTTGCTGTTCACTGATTATGTCACAACCAATCTTTAATAGTTTTCAGATGGAGCAATTATCTCCTGTTCTAGTGATCCTCTGCTCCTAGTGCCTTGCCAATTAGATACAGCCTTTAGCCATACTCACTAATTTTGTATGAAGTGAGCCTTAACTCACAAATATTGGTTTTGATTTTCTATTAAAAATCATTTTCTACCAGAAATATGTCTCCAAGAAAATAATCATCTTAATCTTTAGTCTAATAATTCTCGTAAACTTTTGGAATCTGAACTATGGTGGAAACTAAATTTGAGTTCAGCTGATTTTGCTTCTCTTTGAATCCAGATTCATTCTGGGTTTATGCCCACTTAAACACAAAGTATCTACAACTGCCTCTGAGCTTGGAGCCTCAGGCAAGTCTTCGGAAAAAGACTGTTTGCTTCCCTTTCTGACCGTTGTCCTTTGCCTGTGCAGTGTTTTTGTAAGAGGCAGACAGAGGCTGTGTGATCTTCAGCTACGTGCAGTGTGAGTCTTGTGTGTTGACCATTAATGTGCTCAAACCTTAGGTAAGCCTGGAGGCACTGAGACAGTATTTTTCCCTGGTCACACTGAAGAGGAGGGTGATGCAGCGTTTTCTGGGAGTGCAGCGAGGCTGAACCAGTAGCTGAGCAGCTGTGCTGTGATTTTTACTCACCATAGTTGTTTCTGCAATCGAGCCAAAGCTGTTGATGAAAATGTTGCAGCTGACGTTCACTGGTGGTCCTGCATGACAAGTACAGATTGGAACAGCAGTTCAGTGTGTGCTGTAAGACACGGTATTTCCACTCTGTGGAGTTAAAACCTGTTGTGGGAACTGGGTGACTGAGGGGGAAGTAGGGGAGTAAGGTCTGGATGACCTGGCTTGGTCTGGTCTTGGTTCTGAGCCAGTTTGACACCAGACAGTGTTTTTGCTTCACCTCTGTTCCCCTGTTTGGAAAAATGTTTATATATCTCAGCTGTGGACTGTTCAGATGAAAGGGAATAGATCAGAGCCAGGCAGGACAGCTTTCCAGACAGCTTGACCTGGCTATATGGGTGGCAAGCTCACCTTGAACGTGATAGCAAAGTAACCCAGAAAAGAGCTGAGAGACTATTGACTTTCATTTAGAGCTTACTGATGAAATATTCATATGAATTACCTAAATGTTGCTGAACTAGGATGATATGCTCCCTACAAAGGCAGTGCAGCACAGTGTGCTGTAAGGGTCAGGCTGGCTGAAGGAAAAAGTACCCCATGAGATGATGGTGGTGTCTGCTAAGGCTCACAGCTGAATGGGAGACTTCAGGGCTCTGCCAGCAGAAATTCTCTGGCTGTCCTGATTTGGTAGAGGGTACTCCCTGACTCTGGGCTGTGCCTCTCCTGGACTTAATTTGCTTTCAGACTGAAGCTTTGCTTAGCTGCTCATATTGGAAAAGGCAGGGGGCCACCAAAGAAGTGAGTGGGGGTTAAAGGGGTGAAAAAATTGTGGTTAAAGGCCATGGGGGTCAGTCTGTGTGATACTGGTGCTCAAAGGTATCAGTATGACTTGGAAGTGTTTCATGATATTGCCTGGCAAATCTGATGTGGAAATGTTGCACTTACACCGAGGAAGATGCCAAGAGCTCCAGTTTGGGACAAAGCAAAAAGCTGGAGGATATTTTGGAACCAGAGCATACCTGGTGCCTGGAAAACCAGTGGCTTGCCCACATGTAATAAAAGGATTTCTGTAAAGCCTTAATAAGGGGAGGGGAGAAGGAAAAGGGGCCTCTGCTCTGGGAGCTCCCAAAGGACCTGCTGCAGGTGCTGCCTGGTGTGCACTGGGGAAAGGCAGCTCAGGCAGAGAACAGACACTCCCCCAGGGACCAAGATCCCCATCTAACACTGGAGGAATTAATCTCATGTCATCCCTGTGACAGATGCTTCTGGAAAGATAAGATCTGTGTAAGTGGAGAGTGTGGATTTTTAGATTGTTCCCCCATTCTTTATGGAGTCAGGGATGGTGTCTGCATTTCAAACACTGCCTGGTGGCTCAGCCTGCTGGGGGAGTGATGCTCCTGTTAAGGTCACATCTGCAGTCTGGCACTCACTGCAAGATGAAATACTGGAGGGGGAGGAATGGCTTTAATGAGAGGCTTGTGCCTCTAATCAGTGCAAATGCCCTCCTGTGTGGCAATTAATGGATTTTCCTGATTACTAAGTAACATTTGGAGCTTGGTTTTCTCGTCCTCATTTCCCTTTTCTCCTCTTCTACTTCAGCCTCTTCTGAAACTTTGTGCCTGTCCCCTGTGGGATTAGGATTGCAGCCACTTGGCAGTAATGCTCTGTGGGTGGGATTTCCTTGGTACAAATCCCAGGCAATCCAGGCAGGCTCCTGCCTAACCAGCTCCCAGACAACCACTGCCAGATCAGCAGCATCTCACACTGTTCAATCTGTGCAGCTCTTTCTCCAGACTATTAAACATTGGCATGGGTTAAACTATCAGACACAAAATTATATATATTTTTTTTCTCCTTCACCAACCCTTTTTATCTGAAAGCTTAGCCAGCAGCTGAAAGCACACAGTTTATCAGGCCTGAGCAGTTGTTTTATCCCTTCTGTAGTGCTCCTGTTGAGCTCAGGAGCATTGGTTTTCTATTTTGGATCCATCTCATGAACCACAAGGAAGGTTCCTGTGCATGTAATTCCCCTCCCAAAGGGCACATTATAAGGAAAATACTGAGCTGATCTTCTGGATGACTGAATGTGTTCATGACTGTCAGGCATGGAGTATTTTGGTTCTCCTCTTCCTGATCCAGTACTGATGTGAAGCTGAGTGTGGAGTTAGTTTAGACCAGCGCACGTGAAGACTCTCCTTGGGGCACTGAGCTCTCCCCACCATGTCCAGGGGGAGCCAAATCTGTGCAGGATTTGAGTAGTTTTTAGCTTGTGAAAAGCTCTAGAAAATTCCCCGACTACCACTGAAACGTGCCACCTCTGCAGTGGGATGCAGCTGTGAAGGAATACAGGTTTCCAGCAGCAGGGTTGAGGGAACAGCCTGGGTGAGGGTCCCTTGTCCCAATGCCTCATTCTGCTCTGTCCCTGCCTGAGTTGCTCACTTCGTTCTCCAACTTTGAGCCAAACCCCAGAAGCTTCTTCCTTGTTCTCAGAATGTGAATCCACAGCTAAGTCCAGACTTTACAGTGTTTATGGAAAAGCTGCAATCTTCTTTTTGTTAATCTTCCCCTCCCCAAAAATCAATCCGATATGGATCTTTGGTATTATTTTCATTTAGATCTAAGCAATTAAAATGTCCTTATGAGTTATTGCAGTTAATTTAAATGATGTGCTTTGAGAGTTACAACCCCAAGCTCTGTAAAACACCTCCTATCCCTCCCATATAAATTGGAGCCTGATTTATGTGTGGGAGGCTAAGCCAGCAAAACTGCCCTGGGGGGAAGGTGTAGTTCATTGAAATAAAACCAAAATTAAATTATCTCAAATAAAAATGCAATACAGCTGCCTCTAGCAGGAAGTTAATGTATACATTTCATTAAATATTAAAGTTTAATTTGTGTGTGTGCATAATTTAGTTGTAGGCAGGTTTACAGGGTGGTGTTTTAACTCTTTGTGATTTGGGTAAGAACAGCAGTGCTCTCTGTTGCCTGGTTGATTACTGGGACATAAGGTTCCCACCTTTTTTGGGGTTTAAAAGCCCAGTACAGAGCTAATTGTTTGAAGCTGGGTGGCAGGTGCTGTCACTGTGATTAATGGGTCCTGGGAGTCCTGTATTAGCACTGCCAGTGACTCCAGGGAGAGGGGGAACTGGTAGCGGGAAACAAAAGAACTGAGCATTGAAAAGGGCTGGGCAGTGGCTGGGGGTGGGGGGTAGATCCTGTTTTATCTCTGTGTGTGATTCAAGGCCAAGTAGCTTTGGGAAAGTGAGCTCAGTTAAAAAGAAAACGAAAAAATCATAGAATGGTTTGAGTTGGAAGGTCCTTAAAGACCCTCTAGTGCCAACTTCTCTGCTGTGTGTGGGGACACCTTCCACTAGGCCAGGCTGGAAAACCCAACAAAAAAACCCAAAAACCAAACCAAACCAACCACAAAACCCAACCAATCAAAATAACCCAAAGAAACAAAAAAGACACAAACCCAACTCCTGTTAGAAGAGGCGTTTTGAGGAGCAAAGAGAGAGGATTTCTTGCCTCTGCCAGGGCCTGATTCAGTGCTGTCTGGCTACCAGTAAATACAGGGTGGATTGGAAAAGTTGGGTGTGAAACAGTGGAGCTGTGTTGGGCTTAAGAGTCCTGTTACTGTGGGGGACAGGGATGGGTCTGAGCTGCCCCTGGATCTTACTGAATTTCTTTGGAGCCGATGGGAGAGACTCCTCTTGCCTGTGGTGGGTGTAAGGGGGGAACATTGCCTGCTATTAGAAGGTGCTGTGGGCAGTGACTTCAGGGGAAAGTTTTTCTCTTAACCTGTAAGATGTTCAGCTCTCTGCCAGTCACTGCTTGGTTTGGCAGGATCCCCGATCCCTACTTCAGTGTACACTCCCTGTGTGTAAAGTTTTTACAAGGTTGTTTCTACTCTAAGTGGACATCTCTCCATGTCTTCCCAGATATCTACAAGGGATCCATGTGCCAAATATCATTAAGAACACAAAGATTGTTCATATTCTATATAAAATTAGGGAGGTATTCGGGAGGATTGCATGCAGCTTTCAGCCCCAAAATGAATCAAAGCTGGGTTTTTGCATACCTTTAAAATTTGGTCTGATCCTGGCATCGTATCCCGAAGTTCGCCCCATCAACTTATCCAAGAAATCAGAAGGAGACATGGGTTTGGGGGCAGACCGTGCTGCTGCTTCAGCTTCTTTGGAGGCTGCCAGGCTGTGTGAATAGAAAGAAAGAGGAGGTTTTAGTGCGCATCCCATACTGAGGAGGGTTTGGGGTCCAGAAACAGAACAGTCAGCATCTTATTCCTGCTGAGGCAGGATGGGCACCCATGTGAATTCCTAATGAGGCTGGTCTCGGCTAATTTGTTTGCCCAGCCCAAACATCTCCAAATACAGAATCCCAGCTGCCACCAAAGTAGAAGAGAGATGATGAGTAGTGAAAATCCTTTTGTGAGTTTAGGTATAGCTCTTTGGCGTGCCACTAAATTACAAATGTGAACTCTGGCGCTGAGCTCCACAGGTAAAATACACTCTGAGATTAGCCTTGGGCTGCAATTACTGCTTAATTACATGGCAAATAGCAAGGAGCATATTTGGTACTCTGACAGCCCAATTTTCCAAAAGGCAGGTAGGATCAGAGCAACCTGGAATTCGAGGTTTAAATGAGCATCATGTGATGGTACGGCTCGTGCAGAGCCTTTGGGACTGTAGGGCAGAGAGGTGGTTGTGCTTCCCACTTGCTGATCAGTCCAGCATTTGCTATTGGTACCTGCAATGCAGGGTCTGAGTTCAGCTCAGCAACGCTGTCTCTGGGCTGGGAGATGTCTGGATGGTGATCCTGAAATCACACTCATGTTGGGTTGAGGATGAAAGCAAATGGGGTGGTTTTGGGACCTATGTGGCCTCTGGGGCAGAAAGAGTGAAATAACCAATTTATCTGTAGAAGATGCAAACCTGTGACTGGTAATGTTCCTTCTGGCTCAATGGGAGTCTGCAGGGTGATGATTTGGGCTGATGAAGTCTGTTGTTGCCATCTACACAGGAAGAAGTGACCCCTGGTACTACGTTCTCATTCTCAACTTTGTGGATGGTTTCACTTCCAAGACAGTTCCCTCCCTTTGGTTATGTGGCTTCTACTTGAACACCAGTCTGTTCCCATGCTGAGAGTGTGGTGTAAAATTGCCTAGATTAGCCAAAGAAAACACAACCCTTGCATTGTGCTTAGGGCAAGAGCTGTCTCTGCCTGTGGGCTCAGGTGCCTGATGCTGGTTAGAGCCTGCAGGCAGGATTGCAAGGCAAATGTATCATGAGCCAAAGGAAGCTGCTCAGGAGGAAGTGAGGCTTGTTGCTTCACACTTTGCAAAACTCCTGAATTTTTTAAAGTACAATGGCTGTGTGGGAACAGTGAGAAACCACTGACAGAGAAGCTGGCAGGCCTGAGAATGTTTGCAACAGGTACGAGATATTTAGCTACATGTGTCCTCACAAGTGACAGCAGAAGGGCCTGACCTTGGAAAATTTTGCAGTAGTTAAACCTGATGTTTTTTGAAGAGTAGTGCTAAGTACTGACACAAGGTCTTCTGGGAAGAGCTTGGGACAGTGACTGTGCATTGTATTAATGTGATCCTGCCCTCAAAGACCTGTTCATCCAATGCAAGTTTGAGCTGAGGCTCCAAAGACACAAAGGTCTTGATAAGAACATTTTGAGCCATTGAGGTCCTCAGGAATTTTAAAACTGACAGAATTCTGCAGTGTTTGGGTGCCATAATTTCAAAATCAGGAATCTAGTACCCTGCATTGCATTGACTTTCTTTTCTAGTGTCAGCAGTGATGGCTTGCCAAGCGTTGGTTTTCAATCCTGCAAACTCACAGCTGCAGTCTGGCTTCCTTTGTGAGCTGCAATAGGGTACTCTGATTACCAGGTTTTTAACGGTTAAAAATTGATTAATTTCCACAATGAAGAGGGGAGATGAATTCCAGGCCACTTCCACAGAGAGTCTAAAACTAGGATTTCATCCATCTCTTCATATATTCACAATCCACTGCCACACTGGCCATGTCTGAGCAGGCTGATGCACACTCATGCTTGGTGTTGACCTGACAAGTTGTGGATCTCACTTTTACTACAGCCTCAGTGCCCTTTCTTATCTTGTCCCTATCTCTGCTCTAAGGAACTATGCAAAGCCCAAACCAATGTGTTTCAGGGGTAAATGGGGTTGTGGAATGGGTGATGGTTTTAATTTAATTATTTTTAGGAGGAAAGCAATGGGGTGCAATTGATTTGCAAACTCAGAAGAAAGCTGGGGGTGGGAGGACAATCAATACTGGGCTCGACTACTGCATTCCAATGGAGTGTCTGCATGGCAATGAGTCCAGAGAAAAGATTTCAATTAAGCAGCAAATGACTTGGTAACCAAAGACTCCTGCCACTTCAGCAACAAGATGCCAAATACTGCAATACACTGATTTCTTCTCATTAACTGTTAAATGGAAGAAGTATATGGAAATGGAAAAGTGTGTGGGGGGGGGGGGGGGGGGATGAGGCAATACAAATCTAATAAGCATCTAATAAGCTTTAAGTGGAAAAAGATAATTAGAAACTGCAATTCCCCTGGCATTTGTTTTAAAAAATGAGGTGAAAAGGCAAAGAAATCAGTGCTGAGCTTTCCTGTAAATTCAGCATGAAAGCCTGTACTGAATATGCTCACTCACAATGAGTGAGTCTGCTGGTATTCTTTGGGTATCACTTTCTCATTTTTTCCCAGTTAAAGTTGCAAGTAAATGAATTTGATGGGCTCAGTCCCTACATGGAAGTATTTATTTAGATAACTGAATCCCAGAAGCATCTGGGAGAGGACCAGACTCTCACAGCCCCACTGCTTTCTGCAGCTTCATGCCCGTCTCTGAGCAGTTCCTGGGAACACCTTTGGGGAGGTGCTGGAACTGTCAAACATGGTTTAATGCCTCCTAATATGTGTTTTTAAATCTGTTTGTCTGCTGTATGTTGTTACCCAGGTGACCTGGGAAGGATGAGTTCTGAGTTTTGTCTAGTTTCTCTTTGGTTATTACATGTTTTCCTATAATGACCTGGTAACAGCTTCCCCCTAGATTTAACAAGAAAAGGCAAGAAAGGCAGGGGATGAAGGAATAGCAAAGCCTTTCCAGCAGCAGGCAGATGAGTCAACTCTCTAGCTTAGAAGAAATAGTAGAAAACACCACTGGGAACTACAGAGAGGCTGGTCCACCCCACTGTGCTTTAGATGGATGGTTTCTAACAGAACCCCAAAAATCTTCACTCTGGTTGTGACAACTGAGCTTTGCAATGGCAGCTTAGCTCAGACAGCACTCAAAATACTACTGGCTTCTGTTCTCTTCCAGGTCTGTCTAGACCAGTGCTGTGGGCTGCCTTGGGAGCTTTCTGGGATTTTCTCCATGCCTTTACTTCTTGTAAAAGCACCCTTGAAAGTCCCACAGGACTGTTCATCTGCTGCCCAGCAGAGGCAGGGAGAGTGACTTGAAAATTATTGACGGTAGAAGGGAATTGGAAATTTAGAGTGGGTTGTGGTGGTGTTCAGAGAGAAGATTGATTCTGTGAATAAACAAAGGGAGGCAAAGCACGTAACAAAAGCACCGAGGCTGTAGTTTGCATTGGTGTAAGAGTGTTGTCTGAGCTGGGTGTCTCGGCGCATTTTAATAGCAGTCAGACAGCGGCTTATCTTATTTATGCTGGTGTAATCCCTAGTGGATCTGGCTGAGAAAGTGCCATCAGGCAATCATCACAGCCACTACAATGGGAAGGATCTCTTCAAAGGGTCGATGAACTGGCATAATCTTTTGTGATATTAGTGCTGGCGTGTAAGCAGACACCAGCAAGCCCCCGGGAGGTCCAACCCAACCCACGAGCAGGATAGGAAGGTGAAAGCTGATGGAGATGAGCAGCCCAGCTGCTCAGGATTGCATTCCTTAAAACAGAGCAGCCAGGCTTTGCAGGACACCTATCACTGGTTTCTCCCAGCCTATACAGACACTGTTTACTCTGTCTGCATTTTTTTGTTTCATCTAAACAGATGATATATTCTTATAAACAATTATTTGGTTTAGAAAGTGGCTCTTCTGCAGTCTGGTCACGTCTGTTTGTTCAGTTCCTGGCTTCCCAGTTGGCTGTTTCCTCCTTCTCCTCTCATTTGCGTGGTCCTTGTGCATTATTTTCATGCCTTTTTTTTTTTTTTTTTTTTTTTGGGTGTGCCCGTGGCTGTCCATCGAAGTAAGTCCAACATCACAAACTGCCCTGTTCTGGTTGAATGCTGATATTAAGAAATATATATATATTTTAGTTTGCAAAGAGTGATGAAGGAATTTAATTAGCACAGGGCCTCTATTCCCTTGTCAAATAATTTAATTGTTAATCATTAATTCTGGATGTAAAAAAAAAATCGTGTCTGGAAAGCAGAAACAAACTGTTGCAAAACAAGTGTTTGCAGAGGAAATATCTCTGCAAAGTGTGAAAGGCTCAGGTCCCTGTGAGGATAAAGTGGTGCCACATCAGTGGCTCAAGAGAACAGCACTGGGTTTATTTCTCTGGCTGGATTCTCAGAAGAAATAGAGATACCTAACCCCTTACCCTGGTTCAGTGCTGCTCAGCAAAGCTTTCTGATGTGGTTTGTTGGGAGTTTATTTTATTTTTGAAACGCAGCAAGCCAGAAAGCTTGGCAGGGATGTGTTGGGAATAGTGTTCAGGTGAGCTGCCTCACATTTGTCCTTCAAATGCTGTGTATTCTGTAAGTAGATATCCCAGGGGAGGGAAATATCCATCAGGTGTAAGGCAGGCTGAGGTGAGCAGAGTAACTGTTTCCCCTGTTACCTTTAAAGCCAGGCTAGAGCAGTGTGGGGGCTCGGGGACACAGGAGGATTCATCAGTTCAGCTTTATTGACTTCAACAGGCTCTGAGAGGTGCAGTTGCAAAGAGAACATCAGACAGTTGGGCACAGAAAAGCGTCGTGCTGTCCATGATTAACTACGGTTGCCCAGGATAACTCTCTCCTTACTCTCCTGGAACCATCTCCCTGGTCCCTGAGCAGATACTGGAGCTCAGCAGAGCCCAGCCTGGATTCAGCCTCTGCCAGTGCTGGAGCTGCCTGTCTCCATCTTGTCCTCAGCAGCTGGAGAGAGGCAGGAAGGACAGACAGATTGTCTTGGTGAAATGAAAAGGGGCAG